CCGAGACGGGCCACATCAATGGCTAGAGACATTGTCAGATATGGCCCAGTCGCGCCCTCAATGGCGCTCGTGCATCCAAGCTATTGCCTTCAATGCACAGCTCCTTTTCCAACCCCCAACCCCCACTTGACAGCCCACTGACAGTGCTGGATTTATGGACGAATTTATCAGCTCCCGCCTCCAATGCGGGAGCCCCCACCTCCTCAACTGTGGCAGCCACAACCATTGCATGACAAGTACGCGGTTCTTACAGCTGACAATGATGATGATGAGGCATTGAGCCTAAATGAGCTGGATAACAGGATGGCCCAATTTGGTTTTGCCGGGAAGCTCACCCATGGCCCAAGTGGATTCCAGGTGGGTTTCCCGACAAAACCGAATTGGTATGCAAATGAGTGTGTAATTCGAATTGTGTAATTTGTGTTCTAGCAGGACATAAGGTTGACGGAAACTCGGGGAATGCGCCCACCTGATGAGCCTCAAGATGGTGACAGTGATCGTGAACTGCCGTAGAGTTTTCAGCAACCTTATGAGTGGTGTATTACAACTAACTCCCTTTAAAGAGTGCAGGATACACACCGCTGAACCAGATGCTTTGTTGGGCTGAAATTAGACGCTTTACTTCCGTCAGCAGTTGCGGGTTGGAATGCACGTTTTGCTCGGTCTCACTGGCTCACAGCCTTTAAAGAGTGCAGGATACACACCGCTGAACCAGATGCTTTGTTGGGCTGAAATTAGACGCTTTACTTCCGTCAGCAGTTGCGGGTTGGAATGCACGTTTTGCTCGGTCTCACTGGATCCTTTCAGTGGTTGAGTTGATGGGCACCAGCTGTATGCTTCTTTAGTGTCCAGCTCATCGTTCATGACAGCCTTTCTGTGAGGTTCCATCTTCTTCGGATATCGTCTCACCACTATCCGCCCTTCGGTCAGTACAGTGTAACATTACTTTTATCACAAGACCTCCCCATTTCTCGGGCGCTTTCGATCCACCAGGACTTTCTGTCAATGTTTGTGCTCTTTATTACTCGACGTTTGTCGGATCTGCGCGCCCCATCACATTCGTTTGTTGCTGGTATAGTCTTCGTGGCTTCAATAAGATTCGCTGAATTGTGACGGGATCTAGTGTCCATTGAGATATGCTAGCAACCTCGGGCACATTCTTTCAGAGGCTTTGGTCATGACTTGTTTTACCTTTCTCCACTCATTATCCAAATCGCCATTGAGCCAGCGTTCAGCTGTAGCACCCTTTCGGTGCCTAGCTGCCATGCCACCTGAAGGAAGCACGAGGGCTGGGATACTGCCAGGCTGCCCAAGCCTAGACAGGGGAAGTCGAGAGGCGGAGGTCGGATTCGAACCACGGACCTTCCGGTCAGTAAATTCGCGCTCTTACCACTTGGGCCATCCCGCGTGATGTGCTAACCGTTGACGGGCTTTTCTGGCTTGGTTGCGTTATAAGGCCGCAACCTCACCAATCGCCTGTAGTTGCTTTGTTTGGCTGCTCAACTTTGGTTGATGGATTCGTCAAGGTTGACCAGCAACATAAAGAGATACCGCTTGGTTTTCCATCGAGTGGATCGAATTCACTCTTTGATTGGAGCCAAACGGCAGTGTGCATTTGTGACTAGATGCTTTGGCTTGCATGTACGGCAGTGAAACATCGGTGGCTGTCGATGTGATGATGATGAAGAAGAAGATGATGATGATTGGCTTGCATGGCACAGAGCCGAACTCAGTGGTGCGCGTGTTATCCCCTTCTACTATCGTGACTGTCCGTTTTAACTTCTGTTCCACTTCTTCACCATTTTTTAACCATTGCCATGTTATGCCGACACAATACCCCTTTTTGATTCGAGTGTACTATTATGTGATATATATTTATACACACACGTGTATATATATGCGGATTATTTTGCGCTCCCGATACCATCGGCTATCTACACTTTTTTGTCAAAAGAGATGTGGTTTCAATGGAGTGAGTTGTACCAATACTAATAATAGTAATAGTAATAATATAATAATATAATATTAATAATAAATAATACATTCCTCTGCATGTCGACACATGTTTAATGCACCATTAGTAGAGTTTCAATGGTTTGCTTAGGCTTGTTGAACAGTTTCGCCGTATGGCCGCGTCCCTTTATTCATCTGCTTCGTAACCTGTGAATTTCATTCTACTGGAAGGATTGATCATCCTCGTTTTCACCTTCAGAATCTTCCGTCTGTTTTTCAGCCAATCTCGCCATGTGATGTATAACAATCTTTGTGCTCAGAAGAAAGCTGGATGCCGCGCTAAACACATCGTTCATACTACTCGCTCACTTTCGTATTCTCGTTGAACATGAGTTTACAAGAAAGGTTGGAAAATGTGAACGAAGGAAATATATTTGTTTGTTTTTGTCTTTTCTGGTGGCTGCTGTTGGTTGGGGCGCAGTCCGACCACCTGATTAGTTTGCCTTATTGGGCATTGTTTTTTCCGTTGTGGCTATGGAAAATGACTGTCTTCTTCGGTTGGCTCACAGGGCTGCTTGTCTGGCTACGTCAGCGACATACCTCCATCAATCCAGAATTTATACCAACATATGAGGATCCGGCACTTCCGTACATCCAAGCCATGTCCGTGTCGACATTTCTCACTCTTCTTCTCAGTTGTTCCGAGATACTGTTGTGTTTGCACTTATCTTTACCGTCCTTACAGCTAGCCTATCTGACAATTTTCACACCCCTTCTGTTGGTTGGTTTGTTGGGTATCTTTGGCTTCTTTTTTGTTATGATAGACTCTAGATCCATGTTTTCCTGGGCTCGTCGACGTCGCGCTCGGCATCGGTTTCGGGCCAGATCGGTTATTGGACAAGAAACCTTTGATGAATTTGACCCTGCCTTTATGCCATCGCGTCCGCGTCGTGTGTGCTCGTTCACACTTGAGTTATGCATCGCGGCGAATCTTCTGCAGCTGCTTTTTCTAATCTCTCGTCTAGACAACTGGATCCGTTCCAAATGGATTGTGACTTTCATTCCATCATTCATCCTTCTCGGAATGGGTTTTATATTCTGTACGATTGGATTTATCTTCGCTCTCATCAGATACTTTACTGCATTTAACATTCCTCCAACTCAGCGCAGACTTCCAGTCTACTACTATGCCTCACATATCTTCATCAATTTCCTACTGTGTACTGCTGTCGCGTTTCTAGCTCTCCGTTTGGATAATTATCTCTCCGCAGCTCAGATCAGCTACTCGCTCATTTGTGCCCCAGTCCTGCTCAGTCTCATCATCTATTCGGTCAACTCGTTCTGTTTGGGACCAGGAAACCCATGGTGGTTTGGGCTGAATCGAAATGTGCTACTGGCCGTTTTCGAGGCCTCTCCCGCATTGCAGCTGTGTGCCAACACGTCAGTCACTCCAGCTGGCTTGTGGAAATCGACTGCCAATGGACACCACATATCGAATGGTGTGATTCCGAGGCAGCCAGAATCGTTAACTCCTGGTGATGTGATCTCCGATCCGAGCTCTCAATTTTAGTAAGTTTCTCTGTGTGCAATAACACTTTTGGGTTAGTGAGTTGATGATCAATCTAGATGACCATCATCCCAAAATTTAAACCACTCTTGAGAGTTCTCAACATTCCTCTCAGAAGGAATTCTCCCGTTGATATATCTCTTGGGGTCACTGTGGTAACGTACTTATTGGGCCAGATGTGCCGCACGGTACATATTTGCCGAGTGAGGATGATCACATTCCGTCAGCATTGTTGACCTAGTTGGAATTGTCACGTCCCCGAAAGCCGTCAGGTTATCACTTTCCTGGATGGAGAAATAAGTTTCAGGTGTTGTTTATTGAAGAGTCAGAGTTGCCTACGAGAGCTGGTGTTAATTAGCCTGATTGTTTTTATCATTATTGACATTCCGGCCATAAACAAATGACAGAACAAACGCGTTAGCTTTCAAAGATGATCATATAATCCGTTCACTTCACCATAGTGTCGGCTTTGCTCCTGTGGGTTGTTCAGGCACACTCTAGACTAAAAGTGCAGAAAGAAAATCCCTTCAGTTCTTTCTGCCGGTTGGCTGGCCAACCAAATGCATGCCGGGGCCGTTTGTCCTACTTCAGGCTAAAATTGTCGAAATACTTTGAGCTCGGCTGTCAATGGGGAACCATTAGTGCAGAGCCGGTTCAGTCGTTGCGTTCGGTATTATTCCATTGCACGGCATTACTGCAGCGCGCTCGTTTCCAGGTTGCCTAGTATTTGCAATTTATGGAGGCTAACATTCGTAGGGCATACAATGACACTGGTACTTGACTCTTTGGGACAGCAAGCTCCAACATCGAACAGGCAGGTGTAGCCTGTTTAACTACCTTTGTCGAAGGTCTTACATTAGTAGTTAAATGCAGTGCAGTGAGCTCATATGCCGTTCGCGGGTGAATTTCAAGCCAGTAGTATGGACTGGGATTTATTGCCATGATGCACAATTCTGTATTGGTGATGACACGCTGGGCTGGTTTGGAAAGTGGGGTATTTATAAGAAAGGAGGCTAAGGACAGAGAGGATTAGGTCTGGGCACATTTGCAAGAATCTCGTTTATTTGCCGATGCTGACTGACAGTATCCAGATTGCCATCGTCTCGGCGGAGTAGCAGGAGGTATCATCGTTGTGTGTAATTCCGTACCATGTTTGTTGTGAGAGCAGTGTAAAAAAAGCTAATTGTTCAACTGTCACCCTTTTGATGCCCAGCTGCCACGCCACCCAAAGGAAGCAGGAGGGCTGGAGTACTGTCAAATTGCCCTGGTTTAGACGGATGCAGAGGTCGGGTTCGAACCAGTAAATTCGCCATCTCTCCCCCGAAAGCAGTATACTTACCCAAAGTCTAGACCAAAAGGTGTATAGTCCCAGGAAGTTTTTTCTCATCGACCAACATCTTACTCCTAGGGTAGTCGGTTGACGTATGGAGTTCGCAATGCACTGAATGATGATGACGGTCCCCAGTTCATACGCCCTTCGGACGCCCAGGACTTTCGCCTCTTACCAACAGTTAGTTCTACCGGTGTCTCATCTGCCAGCAATTACTTGCTAAGGGAGTCGTACATGCCACTTGTTGGGTTTTAAAATCAGGGTTTATTCAGTTCCCCTAGACAGACAACTATTTGTCTGTCGATCCGGTTCCGGTGGCGAACGCTTTTCGTTCTTCACTTCAATGAAAACACTGTCGCCAACAGAGACAGTGATGAGCAGGTCCTTCAGAAGCATGGTTCTCTGCACGCAGTCTCAGGACCGACCAAAATCACGCTACACTTGCAAGGACATTCTCCTGGGGAGCACAGACCAATATGGATCGGCCGCTTATCATTGGCGGCACATCTCACACCTACGTTTTATATACCTTGTACAGCAGTTTCGATTTTGACTGATAGTCGTTGGTTTGTCCCCTGAACTGGGCAATTTGATTGTAAACATTTCATCACCAGTCGAGTTTACACCATCAGTGTGTTGTTAGGGGCCGTAGGGAAGCGTAGCGTCAAGTAGCGTTGCATATGTGCCACCTCGATTGGTGATGCAACCAAATTTCCCAACTCAGCGAACAAACCAACGACCGTCTATGCTAACCGAGCTACCAACATTCCCCTCAATAGTTTTTATTTTTTTCTTGCAACCTAGCTTCCTTGAGTGATATTTTTTCAGTGTTTTGTCTTATGCCAAAAACTTCCGACTTCCATGGTTGAAGTCGGGAATTTTAAGTACGCTAACGTTATCAGCTATTGAGCCCTCTTTGTTTGACGCGATCAGTTTTGTATTTCCCACTATGGGGATGGTCCGTTTCTGCTTCATTTGAGCCACGTCGAATGTTGGTGTCCGAATTAAGAGCAAACGTACATTCGATCTTGCTGCATCAGGTTGAAAGTGCCAGCAAGGAGTGTGACAAACACTCTGGACAGACAGGTATGTGTTACTAATGTTGTTGTTTCTACTTCAACATTGTGGATGGCGCATCAATCCTACGACACCGTAAAGTTCAGATAGGTTGAAGGGACATAAACAAACGTGGTGGGCGCTGATCAGAAGATCACTACATGGACCCGAATCTCCAGATAGATCAGGGTGCTGGAATACGTCAATTCACAAGAGATTGGCTGACGCGACCAACTGCACACCCACCATCTAGTTTCCTGTGTAATTACCCCCGTCGTTTTTCGTAGAAGCTGCGTGTCAGACAGTTTTTTACAGACATGAGAAGCCGAGTATTTGATTTTTTTAAAGCACTTGTGTTGGGGAACACTATCTCCTGTAATTCAGATATGCACAAATGGCACTGTAGGCTCCGGTGGCTGGTGACTACTACTACTCTAAAAATAATAATAATAGTAAAAGATAATTGTTTAGCTCTGACACCCTTCCGGTGCCCAGCTGTTATGCCACCCGAAGGAAGCACGACGGCTGGAATACTGCCACGTTGCCCAAGCCTAGACAAGGGAAGTCGAGAGGCAGAGATCGAGTTCGAACCACTGACTTTCCGGTGAGTAAATTCATGCTCTAACCACTTGGGCCATCTCGCTCTTCAGCCATTGTTAACAACTCTACACATGTCATACTGGTCTTCAGACCAAAAGCTGAAGCGGCCTGTTGGTCGCCAGATTATTTTCACTTTGTAGCTTTTCAAATGAGCCGCGCAATCTCTATATTTGGACGGCAAACTGCTTTTGATCTTTGGCTAAACTCAACTAACTTTGATGACGGTTTGGTTTCACTTTTATCTGTGCGGTGCTGAGTGTACAAAAAACTGATCCAAACTTTGCCTCTAGAGGGCAGTGGATTGTAAGTCCACTTGGATTAAAGTTTCACATTTAACTTATGTGGTCCACTCAGTACAATGGCACCTCATCGACTGTACTACTGCGCGACAGCTCCCCAAACGAAGACATGCCCTGGTCGGTTAGCCTATGGGCTCATAGGAAGACCGTTGTGTGGTTTGTTCTAGGAGTGCGGTGCACCGATTGTCATGCATTCTGACGCAGGCTAATGAGTGACACAACAAGCCGAGTGCGACGATAAGTGTTACATTCTCACAACGAATTATATATATACATATATATGCTGTACTTCACTTAAATGGACTTTGCAAGTAGCATTTTTCATCACGTCTCGTTTTGCTATTTCTTTTGGCTACAGTTCACAGTTCCCATCCGTTCACCTCCAAGTGTCGTCTGCGAACTCGTGCGGTGAGACGCAGGCTAGTGTTCCGGGAAATTCTGAACGCAGTGACCTCTCTGCACCCTCGACATCGGTATCTCCACTATCACCGTCAAAGCCAACCATCCACACGGCTGCGCATGAAGATACTGTCCAGCCTCTGCTACCTGACAACTCATCGACTTACTGCGCGACAGCTCACCAAACGTAGACATGCCCTGGTCGGTTAGCCTATGGGCTCATCGGAAGACCGTTGTGTGGTTTGTTCTAGGAGTGCGGTGCACCGATTGTCATGCATTCTGACGCAGGCTAATGAGTGACACAACAAGCCGAGTGCGACGATAAGTGTTACATTCTCACAACGAATTATATATATACATATATATGCTGTACTTCACTTAAATGGACTTTGCAAGTAGCATTTTTCATCACGTCTCGTTTTGCTATTTCTTTTGGCTACAGTTCACAGTTCCCATCCGTTCACCTCCAAGTGTCGTCTGCGAACTCGTGCGGTGAGACGCAGGCTAGTGTTCCGGGAAATTCTGAACGCAGTGACCTCTCTGCACCCTCGACATCGGTATCTCCACTATCACCGTCAAAGCCAACCATCCACACGGCTGCGCATGAAGATACTGTCCAGCCTCTGCTACCTGACAAACAGCCCACCTCCGTGTCTCCCGAGAATAATCGACAGTTGGAGAGTGTTCGACATCCAGATTAACTTGTAGTATAGCTAGCGCCACAGAGGCTGTGTTATTCTCCACTCCCTTGCACCATACTCCTCCCCCCACCACCAAGGCATGATTCTGACTTTATTTTTCCTAGGCGATGCATTTTGTAACCCTTTGTTTCCCGTCTTCATTCACTCCATGGTTTCAGGCATCCGTAGCTGTATCATTACTCCCCTCACCCCCCCCCCCCCGAAGCGCCAATCTCAGTGATTTGTCTACCATAATAAGCGAAATCCACCGCCTCATACACACACATTCACTCACATTCTGCACTCCATCAAAGTACCTGTTTGTTTCATGTCTTATAATACTTGTATTTGTCACAGATTGTACTCCTTTTTGATGCGCTTCAAATGCGCTAGTTCACTTTCACACCCATCCATCTTCCACAGAGAGAGTTATTACTTTGTTCTATTCAGTGTTCACCCATAGCAGCCACGCATCCGTCCTTGTGTGTTACCAAACAGACTGTGCAGCATTCATTCAGGACCGAATCCATCTGCCGCACTGAACAGCTCACGCTGGTTGTCTGTTCTTTTCACCTTTAGATATGGCTAATATTTTTCGGGTTGTATCCTGTTGATTTTTCTCACACATTTCTCTGTTCATTGCGCGTTTAAGTCCATGCGTACACGCCTATTCAGTGCATTTGTCGCGTTCCTTCTCTGTCTGTGACTTTGGTTTGGCGCAGCAGGGAGCAAATGTCTCGTAAACACACGGACTTTACGTTGGCGATTATTAATTCCAGATGTTGGTGGTTGCGGGGTTTTGTAGAATCCGTAAGCACGTTACTCTCGTTTGAACAATCGTCATCCAGTCCTAGTGCAATCATTCTGCGGAGTCCACACCAAGTGGGATAAGTTTCGCTCTTATTAGAACTCATCATCATTGTCAGCTGTAATAACCGCGTAATTGTCGTACAGTGGTTGTAGCTGCCACGGTTTCGTTCACCGATGATTCGGGGAGGTAAGGGGCTCCCGCATTGGAGGCGGGAGCGTCATTAAGGGCGCGACTGGGACATGTCTGACAATGTCTCTAGCCATTGATGTGGCCCGTCTCGGGGTCCCCATCCAGGAAGACGGCAATGACCAGTGCAGGTGAGTTTGCTGGTAATGGCTTTCATACTTCGCTGCCAAGTCATTGTTTGACTGCCTCTGGCTCTCTTCCACCCTTCACGTGGTTGTGCGAAAAGAGCCCTTTGAGGAATCGAGGAATTCGGTCGACTGGCATACGGAGCACGTGGCCAAGCCAGCGCAACCGATGCAGTGTGATCAGTTCATCTATCGAGGGTGAGTTATTTCTCCTGAATAGCATTGGGCGTACTTCCCACCAGATTCGGGCGATGCTCCGAGGACATCGATGGTCAAACACTGAAAGTCTTTTGACGTCCTCGGCGCGCAGCGGCCAGGTTTCTGATCCGTATAGTAATATGGAGCGCACCGCAGCATTGTAAACTCAACCCTTGAAGGATAAGCTGATGTCACGCCTACGCCACAAGTGACGCAGGTTCATAAAAGCTGCTCTGGCCTTTCCTATCCGGATGGAAATATCATCCTTCGGGAGACCACTGGGACTGATACAGTTACCCAGCAGTGCATACCCGAAGGTCATGCCGGAGTTTGAACTCCGCACATCTGACGTGCGAAGCGAGTGTGTTACCACCACTCCATCAGTGCACGCTGGATTCATCCGAATCTGTTTTATATATTTTTATTAGTTTCAAATTCATTAGTGAAAGGTGCCACAAAGCGATGTGAACACCAGTTGACTTGTATAAATCCTTGAGGGGGTTGTGTGGTATGCGTCCAGTGATTTTAGTCGCTATATAAACTCTAGGACGAAGTTTGTGAAAACTAACCGCTGCAAGTTTATAATGGTCCTTCCCTAATAGAGGACGTGTTTTCTAACCTGGTACCGACAGGCTGTTATTTCTGAACACTACTGGATTTAGGCACGCTACTGCGCTACCGAGGTCCCCCATGCTGTCCAACAAACACGGAAATCAAGTGAACATCCAACCATTAGCTATTCATCACAAATCTTGGTTATCCGCTGGCATTTCTAAACACGTGCTTTGATTCTGCTTAAAAATCGTTAACAAGGAGCGAATCACTGTTGTATTCGCTGTTTCCGAGTGCCCAAACGAAACGGTGAGTCCTTCCGGGTTTAGGATGGATACATTTTAGACAGCTCAGGCAAAACCTTATGTGAGATGCAGATGTTTTATAGAATCAGAGTTTTAAAAAATGCCCGAATACAAGTTGTTTCAGCCAATCCGCTGAACAGAACCCAAGCAAACGTGGTCGAATATGAACCCAATATGTATCAAAATTCAGCATCTGGATTACTTCGTTTACTGCTTCAAAAGCAGTTCGATTGCTCAGCTGTCTTTCATCGAATCCGTCTAGTGGTCTGAGACTTGGGTTCTCTTTGGTTTGCAAGTCCTTAATATCTTTCTGTCTCGGAATGCCACGGGGTTGAACGGGCTTGACTGGCGTCATCCAGATGTGCTAGTGGATATTTGCATTTTTCGTAACCAGAGGAGTTAGTCAGGGGCACGCGTTTCCTCTTTTTGGTGTGAACCTAACCGCTGACGTAGAGCACATCCCAAGGGATTTTGAATTTAGACGAAGAATATTGTACTTGATCTATGCAGATGGTACTACCTTTTACTCGACAATCCCCGGTACGCACAAATTACTCCAAATGGAATGTTGCACAAGTGATCATCCGTGTCGACTTGACTTATGCGAGATCCATTAGGAGAACCAGCTTCGAACATAACGGGACTACATAACAGCCAATGGAATAACTGTTTTCGTTGAGACAGATTTCATTGGTTGTTCTTCACTCGCCCTTGACAGATGAGTTGTAATCTTGGTATCACTCTTTTTGACCCGCATGTACGCGACAGTGATCAATAGAGCAGCCTGTTCGCACTTCGCTGACTTTTTATGGTTTGGTCAAGCGCACCAGGCTATCAGTGGGCTTTCCAGACCGGGGTCCACGGTAATAAGAAGGCATCAAGGAGGCCGTGGTCCATAAGATTAAACTGCAAAATTTTAGGTGGTTTGGGTCGTGGTGGAGTAGCAAACACTGACAGCAGAGTTCTGCTGCCCAACATCCCAAACATCATCAGCAACCGTCGTAAGTAGTGAATTACTCGAGTCTAAAGTAGGGAAAATGTATGATGGTTGGCTAGTATCTGTCGATATAAGGATTACTGATCAGTGAGAACGTCACAGTCGGTGGTTGAAGGTGAGAAGTACCGGTCACGCCACTTGTTAATCTTCGTATGCCATGTTCATACAGGCTGTGAACCGACCGACCCAGCCGGGTAGTTCCTTGTGAATCGCCTGAAGCTCCTCAAAGACCGGTTTTGCATGCGAAGGTTTGTGGGACTGTCTGAGGCTCATCGTATAAAATACTGTTTCTTCAACGGGGTCTGCAAAGTACGACTCCAGTACATTCATTACCCTCGCGTACCTTCGAAACTTCAGGCTGCTTAGGTCAAGTTTGCTTGTCAGCAAAACGACTGGTCAGCTCTGCGCGCGAAACTCTGTAACACCCAACTTGTAGAACCCATTCACTGTTGGACGATAACAGTCACTCAGCTGTAACCTTTTCGGTACTTAGCTGCCGCGACACCCGAATGAAGCAGAAGGGGCGAGAGACTACGAGGTTATCCAAATCTAGTCAAGAACTGTTGAGAGGTTGGGTTCAAATGACGAACCTTTCGGTCAGTAAGTTGGCGCTTCTTGGAGCTATCTTGAGCTCAAAAAAAAGCCAGAGAATTGCGAGGCATTCCGAAATAATACGCCCACAATCAACTACCAACCAACTTTGGGCGAAAGTACTCAGGGCTAGAATTTTCCAAACAGAATTTCCAAAAGAACTCGTCCGTTTTCACTAGACCAAGACGATCTTTTTAATGAGAATTAACAAGTGGAGGATGAAGGAATTCCAAAAGTGCAGTGTATGTCTACCGACTTTCGAACGACCGTCGGGCCCAAAAACGCCAAAATGCAGTAAGTGGACCTGTGGTCGTTCTTGTTCAACACAGTCATGATGGCGTGCACTTTTGGCTGTTACGATGTGGTCTTGGTTGAATTAGGTCCCAGTGGCTGCCGCCGCCGCGGTTCGACTTAACGAACCAATGTATGCCGCGTATGATCTGTGGTGTAAAGTGATGTAAGCCGTATCCACCTAATGCCACGTGATTGAAGTCAATCTCACCAATCCTATGATCACTCGGCCACAGAGCTTGAAGTCTTTGACATCTTACGGATGATCTGGTTTCTGAAAGTGGTGAGCGGCACATGAATGACCAGCGTTGTTTTTCGATACTCTTTGTGTCGTATAGAAATTGATTTTTCACGATGTCATCCACCATCTACGCTACCTGAGCTACCGACATGTGTCATCCTGTTTTATAAGTAAGTGCTGGTTTCAAAATACTTGATACTTTTCCTATCGTACATTCAGTCTGTTAATGAAAAGTTTTTCATCTGAAAACCTGCTAGATGGGTAAACAAGCCATGGTTAATGAGAATGAATTCATAAATCAGTTGAAGTATCCACCTTTTCCCGTCATTTTGCGGTAAAAATGTCAGGGCGTAACACAAAATGGCAGAGCGATTGAGTTCAATCCAAGACAGTCCGTTTAAATTTATGGTGATGAAAGTTTACTCCGAATCGGCAATGAATTTCAGCAAGCGTTTCTGTAAGTGTATATTGGTTTTCCTTTGAGCCAGTGAGAGAATATTGTGTTCTGAAGCAGCAAGAAGCACTTTACAGCCGTTTCATCCCTATTGAGAATCACGAGCGGTGAGTATCTCACAAAACTCAGAGAACCCGCAACCTACCGGCCAGTAGTTGAGCACTTGACCGTTCTTCCTGAAGCGGTTGAACGGCAATGTGATTAGTTTTCGTTTAAATTGGATATAACAGCGCTCATTTTTCAATCACAGAAATCACATCACATGATCAAGTATTGACTGATTGGTCGAGTGATTACTTCTCAGATGGAGGTTCCACTCATCCCGAGAATTTATTTCCCCCTGGGGTCACTTATGGATTGATGGCTTGGCTATTCTTTAAGGTCATGTCATCAGATGCTTAAAGTGACGTGGTCTGTAGTGAAAAGCAGTGTGCCACCGAGATTTCTGAAATTATCTCCAAAATACGGCTATTTTTGTACATTAGTAATGAAACTGGCGTAGAAAGTGCGTGATGTGCTTCATCTTGCTCTCAACTCTTTTTCCCAAGGCCCATCAACTGCAACAGATGAAGCAGTAAGGAACTTCGCAATCGTTAACTAGAAGAAAACAACCAAATATGTTGTGCATACACCAACAAGTTTTTAGTAACCGTATATCCAGTAGACTGTCCAAAAGATACGTCTTAGTTCGTGTCACAGTTGCGGCAAAACTTATGTGAATGTTTCCATTTGGATTTTCATCTCGCTTGCCATCTGAATTGAGCTCAAACGCCACCGTTAGTTGTGGTTGAGAAGGGTCAGAGATGTGCGTGTAAGGCTATCCCGGATTCAAGAAGCCGTCTTTTTTTCAAAGCAACGTTCGATCCACTTGTGCGAATCCGAATATTGGACCACCGGAACTTTCAAAAAATCACTCCTTGACTGGAACCGCAGCGTCAAGTTAGGAATCTTTGGAGTGTATCGCCCTAGTTGAATTCATTGGGACGTTCTTTTCGAATACGGGTAACCTTTAAGCCGCTCTGCAGTTCGAAATGCCAAGATAGCATCTAAAGGTAGTCCAAGCTAACGACTCGTAATCGCGAAAACTTCCGTGGTCGAACCACTATTTTTCTGTTCGACCGCTATACCGAGAATTTTGGTGCACGTCCAATTCTTAACAATAAGTTGTCTAGAAGGATTAACCAGGAAACTCCTGATCTAGTTTTCCATTAAGTGGCCTCCCATTGGACTGCTAATACTTGGCAAGCCCAAACAAGCTGGTCCTGAAAGTTCATGTCAAAGACGGCGCGCCCTTCCTAGTCCAAAGGTGCTGTCGAAAAAACCGGCGGCAAGCTCAGCGATCAACAGCAACACGGTATTTAGCAATGTTTTTTTACGTGAATGCATATGTCTTCGCAGTGCCAAATATCTGTCGGAATCTCCCAAAGTGGTTGACATGCCCGATTCGAGACAGAAAGATCGTCAAGTGCGTATTGTTGCATGGTTGGTTGGCTTTCGAGGCAGCTTCGTCTGTAAACATTGTTTGAACGACTAAATGCCTGTACATATAGTTGCGCGGGGTCGGATTTGCTATGACCCCTAAAGTCCAGGGAGAATTCTAGTAACTCAAAATCACACAAGCCTATTGAGAGTCGTGAGACAGTCCAGGGAAGATGAAACTCCGAAGAACTCTCGAAGCGCCAGTTCGATTACTAGTCAGTATAATAGCAGACTCCTCCCGCAGAATACTGTGCAGTCGCGTCCGTCGATGCTGCTCAGAACAAACTCCTTCAGGTCATAGATAAGCGGGCGGTAAAACTGCAGAGGTGGCATACTTACATTTTCAGGAGCTGGGACAACAACGCTACCAGCTTACCCCCTATTTGGTGCCTTGCGCATGATAGAGCTCGAGGTTCTTGATGTCCCGCAGGTGCGAGTTTGTTCATGCAAATGCGTCCACGGGTGGAGTGGCCCCTTAAACTCATTAGTAGTTTACGAAAGGATTGCTCATTTCCAAGTGTAATGTAAGGATATCTCGAAATGTGTCACACCTCTGTGTATGAGTACTTGTCAGACACCCTAAGACACAACCAGATTCCTTCATGTCTCAAAACCAAAACCATTTGTCAAACTCATGTGTGGTTGTAGTGTGAGTATTCTTCGGCCTTACACACCATTATTCAGCCGCCCAAATGGCGGTCGTTTTTGCATGCAGTTCAATACGGTGTGTTCCATATGGCGTAACCGTGGTTCCACATGGCGTAACTGTAGGTGAATCAATATTCTTTCAACTCCAAAAATATTATTCCGCGAAGACTTCGGGTATTTAGTACCTGATCTAGCTGATGTGTGCGCCTGATCCTACGCATTAGATCTATGGATGATTCATTTCTAACGTCCATTTGACCTCCGTGTACATATACAATTGTACACACCTGTAAACAATACAAAATAGTACGGTGCACCTGGATTTTGTGGCCACCCGCAGTTCGCGATTGCTCCAGACTCATTTTTGAAGTCCTCTAGATGTACTGTCTGCCTTCACATGCTCAACTCTTCCTGACAGTAGCGACATTTGAGCAAAATGTCTCTCTCATATTCATTTCTACATTTTTAATAAGTATTTGCATCACCCAGTAACACGATGATAGAAAACGGATGTGTAAGGAACATCACTTAGGCCAAAAACGAGATGTGGTAGATAGATAACTGTTGAGTTTAGACTGTTCATGAAGTGTCCTTAGAGCACAGTTGTCACCATATGATTTACAGAACCAACAGTGCATAGACTTCTTTCCGCTATTAAGCATCTTAACTTGAATAGACAGTACTGAACAGGTATAATATCTCCTCATTTCACAATCGATTGGAAAAGGTTTGGAACCGATTGAGGAGTCATCGTTTCAGAGGAGCTTGATAAACAATCGGTCGTTTTTATCGGGGCAACGTCTCACTTTTGGCTTCATCAGGCCAAGTCAGAAGGTTTTGGATCAGTCAAGCTGACATCAAGCGGTCATCAGAAGGAAGAGTAGTCAATAGTTGAATCCCACTTGACCTCAACCCCCCTCGAAATAAATTTTCGGAGTACTCACAAAGACCCACAAAGACCAAGGAAAATCTACCATTGGCAATCGAGGTGAACCATCAAATGAAACTCTCTGAAGTGGAAGATTAACGAACCGAATCTGATCAGAATTTATTCGAAACTCCCCAATCCACCGAAGCAACATTTTGACAACCACACTAACCGACAAGAGCCGTGAATTGACACTCAACACTGATTTAGTGTGATATCGCACCCTGACCATTCTTCAATGTGGAACAATACTGCCTGTTTCAGAACTGTAGACTGCCTGAGGCTGTAGCATTGGTCTCACTCAGCAAATGTTACTCCTTAATTTTTAGGCACTGAGTTGAGCTGGTTAGGGAGTGAATTGCTCATCGCACCAAGCTGAATGTGGTCACATAGAATGGGGCACTCCTAGGTAAACAGAGTGGAAACTGTTTTGTATCCACGGCTTACTTTCAACGCATACAGTGCACAATTAGGGAAACAGTGAAATTTGCTATGCTTGTCTCATAAGTCCGACACTTTCACTAAAATCTACACAGAGGCATTGCAACAGGTTCAGGTGAGTAAGATACTTTGAAAAGTTTGACGAAACTTGATAATACATCAGAGTGAATTGATGATAGTGACTTTGGAACAGAAAACAGTAAGCAGCCAAGCTGAGCCGGTTTCAGTTGACCGGTCTAGTCTATTCTGATTGCTCTGCTGCGTAATCTCAATGTACTTTGACCCGGTTCAGTTTATGAAATAAAAAACTGCTTTGGCATAAATTTCCGAGCAAAGTTGGAATGGATGGTCTATAGTGTTTCATGAAATTTCCCCAGCTCAATGTAGATTGTGCACGCCAACTAACGGAAGGAGTCTGACAGAACAACAAAGACAAGGGAGCAACAATAAAAAACACTACTTTTAGGGAGACCAGCTAGTATAGAATGGTGAATCCTCGAATTTGATGAGACTTGTGGTTGTAATGTGAAACTCACAAACGTTTCAATCCCGGCTCTCAAATGTCAACAAAAAATAGTTTTTTTTAAGGGAACTACTCACAAGGTTGCTGAAAACTCTTCGACAGCCCACGACCGGTTTCACCCTTCTTGGGGCTCACCAGGTAGGCGCAGTCCCCGAGTTTCCGTCAACCTTATGTTCTACTTGAAGCCAAATTGGACTGTTTTTGAGAAATACACTCACTTGCAAAGCAATTTGGCTATCACGAGAGACTCAACTGAATCTCTTGTTTATGATATCCTACAACTGAATGTGCTGCACACAGGTCGCCTCATGTTTCAGTTGGCACGATATTCGAGAAATTTCAGTACATTTTCATAATAAATAAAAATAGGTTTATTTTCGGGAACACAGAAATGTCGCCAGGTTATGTTGTCGGAAACAGGGTTGGAATGTACTTTGCTCACCCTAAATATCCAGTGGTTTCAGTCAGTCGAGTCATTTGTAAATACGCCTCTTTGTTTTCTATGTATTTCCCCTTCCTCCTTAATGAATTTTCCCAAATTATGGCCGCAATGTGCTAAACTAGTTGATTGATCGGATCGATTTTATTGTAAAATCCTTTCTCAAGAATGTTTTAGGGTCAGCCCAATCGATCGATCTACGTGATACAATCAAAGGAATGCAACTTGCACAGCCCGGACAGACCCCCAAGTTTGACAGTTCTCAGCACCATTGTGAAAACTGCTTTCTAATGAAGCACATCGTTTTTCACCAATACTTTTGAAAAGTAGCAAGGAATTTGGGGCAAAAAGCTGACTGGTTGAATGACTACAGAACTGATGAACTGACTGAACGTTTGATTGGTTGATCGATCGACCGCTCGACCAACCAACCGACCGAAAGACCGATCGATCGATCAAATGACTGGGTAAACTAAATGATTTGTCAATTACCATCTTGGCAATTTTTTGCACTTCCAGCAGTATCGTTTCCGACTGAGAAAAGATTTGCATGCAAACATCTAGGGCAGCAACTCTAGCTACACCCCGTTGTAGAACCTCAAAGTTATAACTTCGCCTCGATAAACTAACCCAAGCTGAGTTTCTGTTGGTGTCTCACAGCCCTCGCCAATACTAATCGATAAACCTTGTGTGTCCCCACTATGTGCTTCTGTCTTGCCTTTATGTCCTGACTGAAATTTGGTCGTGCACATCGTGCGGAATGAAAACGAGTTTTTGTTTCTGTTGGGTGTTCACATGAAGTTTGGTCATCACTCATCATCTTCCGGCTCTGCTTTTCACCATCCTTCCCTTCAAGACAAACTTCTGGGAATTGTAAGCGCAGAATCCCAAAGATACTTATCACCTGTCATCTTCACGATGATGATGATGATCATGATCATGATGATGATGATGTCGGTGACAACCTTAAAGCCGACTGAGTTAAAGAAGTGCTTGCAGCAAATCACTCGGATACTACGTAAGGAGCTGAGAGTATAACATGGTTAAAAATTTCTCTGGTTTATGTTGCAGCTACTAAATGGTTCTGTAGTTGATCTTATCCTGTTTCTCCGCCCTATCTACCTCCAATCAACTTCGGTAGCAAGAAACGAGTGTGTCAGGCCTTTTACTTCCTTAATTTTTCCTATAAAGAGCAGGTGATGTGTATACGAGGGGAAGTTGGACTTTTGCATGCCAACAACAGACATGTTTATCTCGTATGCTAAACGTGCTTGGTTTTGTCGTGAGCTGAGTCGGCCAGTATCAGCTGATCTGCGAGGAAGGCGCTTGCGCCGAATTCCGGATAATGAACATCCAATATTTCAAGGAACCGTCGCAACTCGGTGATATTGCGTGCGGCCACTGTAACGGGTCGAACACGCTTGCCTTGATAGTAGAGCGTGGGTTCAGCTACGCTGTTCTGCTCAGCTGAATTCGGACTTTGACCAAACGGCACAAATCTTCTGTACTGAGCGTGGAAATAAACACGACAGTGGGTGTCACGTGCAATCATAGACACTTTCTTCCCGTTAGCAAACGCTCTGACACAATTTGGTTTGTCTTCTACATAGAACACGTAACGCAGTGGGTAGATTTCCTCGTGAGAACTGATCTTCACGGGTGGAGTGGGATAGTGGATCTCAGGAGACCATATTTTACAGGTGTTCACTGCAGAAGTTGGGTTCCAGTTGGATTCCTGTTGTACTTTAACTGCAATGTAGAAAATAAGGGGATCTTGTTGCTTCAAGCGAAAACCCGATATTTCTTGTAAGCCAACCTTCAATCAAGTTTACTCGTGACACTTTGATAACCGAATATTTCAAGACAAACAAATAAGCCTTCAAGGCAGTCCCAAAGAAACATGAAAAAACAGCCTGTGTGAAACAAATTAAGGTTTCAAAATAAATTTCCTTCCCAAACAAGTAACGGTGTGATATATTGAACCCAAAGATAAATTTTTGGGCGTCATATGGTATGTGCCGTGGGGGAAGATCGGCAACTGCACATGGGCAAATCAACGCTCATCATCATCATCGACAGCAGGACATCAGTGTTCAACACCGATGCTTCACTGCCTTACAACCATGATGTATTTGAAAGCCTTATTGTGAAGAAAGGAATGAAGGTGGACGTGGAAGGGACTTAGTGCTAGCTTACCACAATCATTCGGAGGTTCCTACACCTCCAGACATTCACTACGACACTTCGATACACGATAAAAAAACCAATGAAATGTCATGCTTTCTGAAGGTGCGTTTGAACTGTACCATGTAAAGTTGACCTTCCTGAAAAGCCACGAATCAAATTTCATTACATCAGGTTGTCAGGACTGATAAGATTGGTAAGAGTGATAGAAGGGTCGGAGCGATAAAATACTGCGTTGCGTTAACATTTTCTCCACAAATTTACTGATCGTCAGCTGATACCGCATTCAAAACTGAGAGATCTGCGTCGGAATATGGACTGGATGAAATGTTTGGCAGGTTTTATCATATACACCCTATCAGGCAGAGTTTAGAGTTTTCCACTCGAAACTGTGCACTACGGTAACAGCCAACTGATATACACGCCCCAAGGAACTAGTGTAACGGTGATACTACTGTGGGGAAGACATGCGAGTAGTATGCTTTCTTCCTGTAAATTCGCTTTGCATCCCTTGGAAAGGGAGATCTATTGTGGAACTTTCGGAGTCGCTTTGCGGCAGTTGCTCGGATTTGAGTAACAGTCAATGAATATCCAGGAAAGTTCAGGAAGACGCGTTCAAAGAGAAGGTGGATATTCAGCTTTTGTAAACAAGATGTGTATGAGAGTTTTGCTTTCCTGTCCAATAGTCTGTAATTGGTCAGTTGGCATTTTCCAGTAAACAACTCCGCAGCGAAGGCCTTCTTCCTTTCACTGGTAGTGTCCCCTAGTTCCGTTGTACGGCCGTTTTCACTCATGCGCTCTCTAATAATCCGTCGTATGGCAGTAAAACATCAATAAACGCAGCACAGACGAGAGAACAATGCTCCTATGAGTGCATACTCCAAAAACAGGAATTAACGGTAGTGGGATGGCTATGCGAGTACACATGAGAGTCCTGTTTACCCATCTCATTCGGTAGTGAGCTATCCTGAGTTATCACCAACCATATGAGCGGTGCCGAATCCGGTCAAAATGTATTGAAAAATTATTCGCCTTAGTGTGCCGAAGGTCTGTAAGATAGCCTTCTTCCAGAGTACAATGCCTTACGAGATCATTTTTTGCAGGCGCCGTGAAGTCCAAATCAGGTTACCATTTCCGAATGGTTTCCAATTAGTCAACCAGCTGACAAATCATTATACCGAACAACAAGTGATTAGTGTAAAAAAAGACCACTATTTAGCAGGCTTGTAGGTATATTTTTGCAGCGCTCAGTCAGCCCTAAAACCTCTGTTTTGAAGTATCGAAATTAGAGTGTTCGTGCGTGGAGAGCAAGTGAGCCATAGAAATTTTGTTAACGGGTGCATATATACACAAAATAGCCGAAGCAAGGTATTCTAGATGAGTAGGCAAACGAACATCGGTCCGAGCTGCAGTAATTTAGCTACTTCCATATTGCTAAAGGCCTAATGCACCTGCCTGCACCCTCGGGCTAACAGATGTGTCCACTCGAGTGATAGTCATCCCGTATCTGCCTCGAAAAAAGTAAAGTGGAAAAAATAAGAGAGCGGCAAGAGGCGACTGAACCTATTCAGTGATGGTCAATCAGGCAGACGCATTAGACCATCCAGACAGATTCCGAAAGTACAAGCACCGGCTAAACTCCACAGCTTGCACTGACCTCAGCAGTGTGTCTTCCACAGGAATCAGCAGCTCCAACAGCATTTGAGCTAACCTAAATAACTCAGCCGCACGGTTTGGTATGCGCTTCATCGCTGCAAAGTGTAAAGTACTGCTACAAGACTGGGTCGGATCAAACCCACACCTGGAGGCGAGCCAATTGACGTTTTACATAAATTTATTTACCCGGTCAACTGTATAAGTTCCGGTGGACTGGCTGGAGATGAGATTATTTCTCGAATCGGAAAGGCCGGGGCAGCTTTTGCCAACCTCCGATATCTGTGGCGCCAACGTGACGTCAGTCTATCGTTTAAGGGAGGAGTCCACACTGCAGTGGTGTGATCCATACTGCTTTATAGATAAAAATGTGGCTTCTACACGCCAATGGCATACGAATACTGTCAGTGTTTGACCATCGATGTCCCCGAAGCATTGGTCAGGTTTGCTGGGAAAATCAGATTAGGAATTTTGAGGTATACCAGATGGTATTTGGAAGATGAAATCTTCCGCGATAGATGAACTACCCATGCTTCATAGGGTACGCTGTTTAGGACACGTACTCCACATGTCAGAAGGCCGTATGCCTCCTAGAGCTCTTTTGTCCAACCCTGAGAGCTGAACATTAAATGACCTGGCAACGAAATACGAAGGCACTAAGCAGTAAACTTAGTCGGCTAGGCAAGTGCCGCCTCTGAGGATGGGTACCCCCGGTGTCAACTCACCAATGGTTAATGACACTGGCAGAAATGGCCCGATTGAGCAGTCAATGGCGCCCGTGCATCAAAGCCTTCGCCTCCACTGCGCAGTTGCCCATTTTCCGAACAAACTGAAAATGTCTTCGACTCTGGTAATCGAAACTAGCAGCTGGAACCTGTGTGCCTAGGATGGACCGACACTCACCTCGTTTGGCACAAAACCAGGTAACTGCAGTCGAGATTCGGCCAGTAACTTGCCTGCCACCCAAATGAACGCCCGTTTTCTAATCACAAATTTGCGCATACCACCTACCGGCCGACATTGGTGGTCGAACATGTGAGGACATCTCAGATTGTAGCGGCTATCCTGCACAACCACACCGCAACATAACTCATATTACAGCTTTGTTTATGCAATCCTCGAGACTCCATGATGCTCTTTTTTGGCGCCAAAACTAAAGCAAACTGACTGACAGGAATTGAACCATTTAAATTCGTGTACCGGCCTCATCAGACACACTTGAATCTGGGTTGAAAACCCTACCGAGTTGAGCAAGGCTCTCTAAAATCCCCACTGTTTATTCTTGGAATAAGAACTGCACCTTCAAAAAGTGCACATTCTGAAACATGCTTCTAAATCTTGTAGGTGCAAGGTTTTCGCAAAAATAAGGTAGTAGAGCGGTTAATTTTTCATCGGAAGCCTTTCGTTTGTCTTCGAACGCGTAAACGCTCCAGCTAAGCAAAGTTCTCACTAGCATTATTTTGAACACTAGGTTTTGAAGGACCTCTATTGCTCGCTTTCTTGGAAAGAGATGTAAGATACTGGTTTTTACAGGGAGGTTTTCGGAAATTTATTCATACAGTCTCACGGATAAAAAAGTACATGAATAAAGCGAACAGATTGTGTTCGAAAAAAAACCCTGAAGCATCAGTAGTTGACATAGAGGAACTAATCCATCCACACGATGCGACGACCTGTATGAGTCAAGAGAGAACAAAATTTTGCATAGCCTCTTTTTACGGAGCTGTCCTAACACCTGAGACAGTGATGTTGATAACTAGCGGCATCAGGCTCGTTGTTTGAAGGCTTCAGACAGGAAGTTTGGCCACCGAAGTCCACCTACTACTGTCAGGACGCACCCAGACATGGAAAAAGTACATGTGCAGAGTGACGCATCCCCAAGGTCACCATAGTTACGACACGTCCAGAAAGCAGGTGCGCTGGCGGAGCCCACCAAACACGGCTTAGCAGCATACGACCAGCGTAGTGGGCCTGAGATTGATCACGACCGGAACACCGCCATTGGCTGTACGGAGCGAACAAGTGAACGACCATATTTGGCCATTCAGTCATCCTATATATTTATGCAGACGCTCTGTATGTTTTGTCCTAGCAATGCAGCCGTGTCCCCAGTTCTCTGTTTTCTCCCTATCGCATATACTGGCAGGCTTAGTGCAGGCGTAACCCATAGACGGCCACCCAAGATACAACAACTACTTATTCGTGCATGGTTTGGTAAAGCCGGAATTAGTTCTATTTCAATGACACTAGGAAATGCATCCTTCCAGATGTTATAGTTATACTGACTTATCAGACGGATCTCATTGGTCAACAGAGCACCCGTGAGTTGGAATATTCCCGGAAGGTTTGCTCTACTACGTTGAGAATAAATCGCTTTTAAGTCAAAGGGCTGCTTGAAAAAGCTATCATAGACAAAGTTGCAGCTCTTAGAGGCTAATCTCTTCGTGATTTAAGGACAGTAACTGATAGGGTGACATATGATGCCTGTACTACTTTGGTAGTTACTATGAATTTTCAGTCAGAAATATCCACGGGGAAGTGAACCGCACGAGAATCGCTGTGATAGTTACATAAACGACGGTTCTCGCAGTTTACAACAATCCGAGACAAGTTGATCCGTCTTAGGACTGACACCGTAGCAAGTTGATCCTCGCTTTTCAGCTATAATCTTCCAGTTTAACCCTCAGTTGTCCGTGAGTTAGTTCATTCATCCAGGGTGCTTCAGATTAGATTATAAGGCTAACTGATGAAGTTTTCAGCTCACCAGCCATAACCATCGCGGTTTTTACACCTGAAGGTGATAATGATTCCTACCATATCTCTCGTTTATCTGACTGACTGTATGGACAGACCCATCAGTTCCTGATACTAATGGAGTCATGGTGTGCTGCTTTCCAGATAAGATAGATACATCAGATTAGTTTTGAACTTGAACCAGATATCCTTATGATGACGTGTATTCACCTCTCACTAACACAAAAGGACTTCAGTAATGTGTACTCTAACAACTAGCACTATTGAGTTCGTTGCACTGCTCAAAAAGCATTTGAACTGTGCATTTTTGTAACCTGATCGATAGCTGCGAATGTTCGGATGTTGTTGAAGCAGTTAGCTGGTGCATTGTGCATCGATTTTCTTCCATCTTAGTTCTGGGCCCTCGAGCTAGGAAGCGATCCATGATAATTTTCCATCAATAAACGTGCAAGGCAAACCAGTGCCAATCAGGATGAGAAGGGTTAGGTTTTTTTTAGAACGAAAACGCTGATTGGTGGGTTTATATGAATCCGTTTTTTATTTGTTTCATGTGGGCGAGGCACGTGACCACATAGCTTATCGTCTGAGTGCATGTGTTAGCTCTCGTAGCGAATTGACTGGAGCTCCACAAAGACAGTGGAGTTTCTCTACTACTAACAACATTTACAGTGCGAAATTTTACCAGTAGGTCAAGCAGAGATCATCTCTTGTCACCTCATGGGGAGCCGTACGATCATTCGACTCGTCAGTCAGCCTAGCTATATTGTTCGAATTCGGCGAGTTCAGCCGACGAATAGCAAGAAAATCATAGCGTTATGATCAGGTTGCGTAGCGATCTTCATGTCAGTCACGGTGTGTGATCTTCAGGCACCCGAAACCACTCGATAGGGGAAGTACGTATCTGTCAAATTTGATTATCATAGCGTCAAATCTTTCATCGTTTGCTTGACTGGTTACATTGGGCGAGGGACACGTGACTAAGGCTGTTATCCTGGTAGATCCGTGTCCATCGACGCAGGTTTGTACCGCCATTCCGGTTCCCACAGTCGATTTGTTTGTGAACAGACAAGGCTACGGCACAGGATCATTTAGGGCGCGTTTAGACAGGTCGCTCTTAACTGGCCGAACATGTTACGGTTCTTGATGGAACACGTAACTCATAAGTTCGCTGAAAGATTTACGACAGTTCATGGTTGATTTCGCCTCTTTGTAGAATTATCAGGTAAACGAAAAGTGCACCGTCGAAGAGTTCCCAGAAACGTTTTCAGTAGTGTATTCTGCGAAAGAAATCTGTTGCCATTTCTCTAATATTGTACCAAACGAAACATTAAACGGTCTTTGTGTAGTACATTCAGTCAAACAATACCGTAGACGGGAGGTTCTTTTGGAACTAATTCGAGGCTGTCTTTACTAGGCCCTGTGGTAGTGCACGACAGTGGCTGCATCCTTCTCTAACTTGATCAACGAGGCTGAATTTCGAGGAGAACATGCGTGACATTGAACAGTGAAGCTTTTCAAGCCATTCCACAGCAAAGAAACACGAGCAAGTCAAAAACTGTGCTTACTGAGACCTTCCTGGATAATTTCCGAGCCTGAATTTAAGTCTAGGTTATGGTCTTAAGGGCAGAACATATCAGAATAACGAGTGTAGTTTGAACAGATGAACCAAGTGTAAAGGAGACATAAAGAGCCGTGCAAGATAATCATTCCACAATGAGGAACGTTCTTTCAACAAAGAAGGGACTGTCTTGCCGAAAATTAACCGTTTCACTGGCGTCTGGAAAAAGCCGCTGATTGACAGATTCTGGAAGACACGTAAAAGGCCGAATCCCATGAAGAGAAAACCCTCTGCTTGGTGCTGGAACGCAGTTTAAAAGGGGGCACGAGACGCATAGATCCATTCAATCTATTCGTACCAACCGAACTAATTGGCACACAGTAGTCCTTCATTTTTTGACATCATTGTTTGAACGAAGCCCTTCCATCCAGCTCCAAAAGGTGGACACCGCCCATAAGAATTCAAATACGCAAACACCTAATGTTCTGCCAAACAGCCGGGACACACATCACAGTAGTTTGACGCAAAACAAGGGGGAATCTCATAAACCACCGAACAAAACAATTTACCGATAGAGACCCTCGCAGATTTCACTTCCAACCCTATCTAGGGTATTCTGCTTTTCTTGTCTGCGTGTTAAGCGCCTGAGAATGGGTTTCTTATGTACATTAGGCAACACGTCTGCGCATTTTTCCAACAGTCTTTAGCACCTCGAACCGTTCATGTGATGAAGTTTCATAAATCCCAAAACGCCCATCCAATACTGCTTGTTTAAACGATTTATCCGTGCCAAAACCTAGGGACTGTTTGACTAGCTGCATATTTCAATTAATCAACGTAGCTTGCTGGGATTTTGGCCGAATAAACCCTAGCATAACATCGTTTAAGCTCGAACAACACACTCCGGTCCGAAAACAGATGTTGGACCCAAAAGTATGCCAGTGACGGGCTCGTCTTCTGGAAGGAGTCAATTAGTGAAATCTATATCGCGTACTGTGTGGGTGTGAGCCTCTTTCTTGGCTTAGAATTGCTTGACATCAAAGAATGCGATATCCATGGTCTGGACGTTTTATTCATCAACATCATCATCATCATCATCATCATCATCATCATCATCATCAGAGGGAGGGGACCTAGTGCTGGCCTATGTCAAGCATACCGAGGTGCCTACACCCCCAACCGTTCAATCAGACAATCTGGAAAGAAACTGACAGCACGAACGCCACTGACATCGATTAGCCGCCGTTTCTTGCAACGTCTCCAGCCAAGCACAGACCGAGTCACGGGGACCCACCTGGAAGGCGTACAACACCAACAACACCCAAACTCTTCATGATCTCTTCGACGTTTTTCTGCCAAGTCATGTGCTGCCCACCTAGCGGTTTGCGCCATCCTGAAGGAGGCACGGAGAACAACACTCGTCTCGGTAGACGGTGTTTTGGCATGCGTAGCACATGACCGATGCTGGATGTTTTCCCGGATTGAGGTGCCTGCAGAACAACCAAATACCCGTTTTCTAATCGCCTCGTTACTGACACGCTGACGCCATCCACAACCAGCCACGCTTCTGAGGCATCGGTGGTCAAAAACCTGAGGACGCCTCACATCATCTCTCCGCAGAGCCCATGTTTCGCACCCATACAGCAACGCAGCCCTTACTGTAGCCTGGTACACATGACCCTTAAGATCCAGTGAGATGCCATTTTGACGCCATAAGTGACGTGATTCGAGCCTTTGTGATTGTTGTATTGACTTCATTAGACACTTCCGTCAGAGCTAATACAAGTACCGAGGTATGTAAAGTTTTTCACAATCTCCAGTGGTTCTCCTTGAATTGCAAGGGATATGTTCGGAGATGGCACGTTCTGAAGCACTTTGAAAGTGCAAGGCGCATGCCAAAAGATGGTATGATGGTGGTCAGTTTATTCAACAGGGCTTGTGCTTCGCTTTGGTCTTCAAAGATGGGAGTGATGTCATCTGCGTACTCCTAATCGACAAGGCTCTTGCCAGCAACAATTTGGACACCGGGGTTTTGAAAACCGTTCAGTGTTTGCCTCATTATTTTATCGATGACAAAGTTAAAAAAGAATGGAGAAAGTGGACATCCTTGTCTGAAACCACTTTTGTTGGGAAGCTTTTGGAGAACTTATCATACACGCTCACCCGCCCAGAAGAATGTGAATATAGGGATCGGATTGCGTTTACAAACTTCTGGGGCATACCCTGTTGTAGTTAACAGAGCTGGCCGATCAACAGAATCGAACGCACCCGTGAAGTCAAGGAACACCAGGATTGTGGGTCGTCTGTACATGTTGCGTTGCTCTTACACCTGGCAGAGTGTGTGAACTGGTGTGAGAAACAGACCATTATTAAATCCACGAGAAATCGATCGACTGAAACGAATCACCCCAAAAGCTATATCCGGAAATGGCTGGAACATTGCTTGATTGATGATCGATTGAATCTTATTTCTTGCTTGGATAGATAGGCTGCATGCCAAAGTTTTCACCGAATCCATCTTGTGAATCATCACAATTCATTTCATGTGACATTTTGCCAAACGGTATCTCTGCGTTGCACCACGCATACACTTGTGTTAATCAAGCCTCTGGTAAAAACGACTAATGTGAACAGACAGTGATTCCTGTAGGTGGTCATCATCCGTTGAAAGCAAAAACAAATTCTCCGAGGAGTATCATTTTGAACTTCAAGATACGAAGAGCCAAGAACCAAGTGTGCTTAATATTTGTGTCCAAATCACTTCGAGGGTCAGCAACTTGTAGGTGAGACAAATAACTGAAGGTCAACTAAGGAGTATGTTGCGTTGTACACCTGGCAGAGTGTGTGAACTGGTGTGAGAAACAGACCATTATTAAATCCACGAGAAATCGATCGACTGAAACGAATCACCCCAAAAGCTATATCCGGAAATGGCTGGAACATTGCTTGATTGATGATCGATTGAATCTTATTTCTTGCTTGGATAGATAGGCTGCATGCCAAAGTTTTCACCGAATCCATCTTGTGAATCATCACAATTCATTTCATGTGACATTTTGCCAAACGGTATCTCTGCGTTGCACCACGCATACACTTGTGTTAATCAAGCCTCTGGTAAAAACGACTAATGTGAACAGACAGTGATTCCTGTAGGTGGTCATCATCCGTTGAAAGCAAAAACAAATTCTCCGAGGAGTATCATTTTGAACTTCAAGATACGAAGAGCCAAGAACCAAGTGTGCTTAATATTTGTGTCCAAATCACTTCGAGGGTCAGCAACTTGTAGGTGAGACAAATAACTGAAGGTCAACTAAGGAGTATATTCAAAGGAACTCAAAACTTAAGACCAACACCTAAGAATCAGTAACACAGATCCCAGTGTTTGAAAAATAAGTTTTTGACTCAGTCGTTCAGGTCCACTTGAATTACGGTTCGGAGTTCCCGCAGCATTCCCAGAATGAGTTACTTTACCTACCGACGGTAAATATCAATGAGGATGACGTTACTGGAACAGAAAACAAAACACAGGTGTCTGATTTTGGTCAGTTTTCTTCCAGGGAGCCCATATTCTCTTCAGTGAACATCTCAAAACCTCTGGTTAACCCTGGAACTGTGGAGGACAAACATACCAGCTTGAAGAGATTGAATGTGTCACTTGAATGCAACCGGGCTTTCAGACAAACTTCATGATTTTTCTGGAAGCCTGTAAAATCTCTGAATAGGCCTTGTGAAGAGTTCGCTGAATTCATCAGATTAATGAATAAAATTTGGGCACAAATCTAGTCACCGAAAGAGAAAATGCGGCTCTTTTGTAGATGGTCTGGAATTCTGAGGACAAAATCCTGTCGGAACGTGTCCGAAACTATATTGTCAGAGCTACTGCTTCAGGTCTCATCAACAAAAATCTATGGGAAATGAAACGTCATTAATACGACCATATATTATACGGTCGATGGCAGTGTGGACAGATTTAATGCAATTTGATGAGATTTAAGCGTCATTGGGTCCATTTAGAGGACAGTTCTGTACTCTTTCCAAGAGACCGAAGTGAGACTTATGCATGTCAACAAAAGCGGCATAATTAATTGTCCGACGATTCCCAGAACGGTCCAGTTACCGGTCCGTGGACGTTATAAGGACACAGGTATACCCGGTTATGTGCCAAATATAATGAGGTTTCGCTAATTGCTCGGGGCAACACATGACCCATTTCGTAGAGAGCAAGTTTCAAAGGTGAAAATTTTCCAAGAGTGGCAAATTACTTCTACCTTGATGCCACAGTGGTTTTCTTCCGTTTCCTCTCTGGCACGCATGTGTCTATCATCTCAGCAGTAAATACGTGCACAAGTATCAACACGTCCAATTCTTAAACGGTTCGTATGTTCGTATTTCCCTCATTCAAACTTACCCCCATGTCGTTGGGTCTATCTGCCCTCCCTCGCGCGATAACGGTTTGCCAGCGCGCTTCTCGATTTTTTCTGGTATTTCAAGGTGCTCCAAGACAGCTAGACCACCCATTCTGACGAGATACACGCAAGTTAAAATCTGGTCTCATTGAGTTAGCTTCACTGCATAGTCCTATTGTACGGAGGCCAGCCGTCCCTAATAACCGAACATCACATCATTTGGACGGACGTGTCACGTGCAGGACACGGGCCAAACGAAGGCATAGCACATTAAGTTGAAGCTTACTCTGTGTGGTTCAGCTAATTTCCAGATGATTCTCTCAAGTCAATTTGCAACTGAGTGTGTAACTCCGCTGATGTATACTGCGATGGTCAAGTAGAAATTCCGGTTGACAGAAACTCGGGGATTTCGCCTACCTGATGAGCTCCAAGGGGATACAGAGTTGCACTACCGTTCAGCAAGTCACAACATCTATGCTCGACTGACCAAAGTAGGTTAGGAAGGAAGGTGTGCGAACCATCACATAAGTCCATCAGGGCATCTCCATTACAGTTTTTAAATTAGCAAAACACAAGGTGAGTCGGGTCGTGGAACGCCAGGTCTGTGTGCCAACAGACAGAAGCATGGCGTTGCTAGAATAAGCCAGAAACAAGTGTCTCCCTTAGATGAAGAGAAGTCCAGGACGGGTCCCTTTGGACTTGTTTTGAATTTAGGACCACGAGTAGACGACTCCTTGGATCAGACGGCTGACCACGGCTGGCCGCGTACCCTCAGAAGGGACTAGATATTTATCACTTCAACCTGTGTGAGTTAAACTTGGGCGTCCTGGTTTTCCTGAACATGGTCCGTTGCATATCCTGACGACCATCCGCTGGGAATGCAAACCAATCATTTCCTCAGATTGATTTGTCCGATATGCAAACTGATGTGCGGTGTAGTAATGAACTAAAGAGAATATTACACTAGATGTTCTATTCCTTCTGATCGCATCGGGGATTACTTGTGGCACTTGTCACCGACTGGTGGTACCAAAGCTGTCTACACCTTCAGGTTCACATGATTAGCTCCAATAGATCAGCGTTGTTTGGCTGGGGATGTTAAAATACACATTCGTGACGTAATTACCGTGTCTAACAATATAGAACAGTAACTTTTTCAATGCCATTTAACGTCACGTCAGCTCTGTAAACTTTTCGGAATTTAGCGGTGGAGGCGTTGGAACTCATTGAGGACAAGTTCGGTGACTACTGGACCATATAAATCTATTTACGTTAATGTAGGATGTGTAGGTTGTGTCTGTGTCAATTACCTGCTGGGTAAATAAACATCTGTTTCTAGACACACGAAGCAGAGTAGCTTTGTGGACTTCGTCACATTTTCATGGAGTACCCTCTCAGAAAGAACTTTTGACTGGATTTGTCCCATAATTTCCACAAAAATCTCTGAAAGGGCATGGTGACAAAGGTTGGTCTTGGTCTAAGCAACTAGTGAGCAACTGACAACGACAGTTACTACAACCAACAACTACTAACTATCAATATCAGTCGGGTGAGTCTTGACGAGAAAAAAGGGATTCACTGACATTCTCTGAAAATGATGGTCATCTAAGTAGATGAAACGGAGACAAATAAGTGACTGGTGGAAAATTTCTGGTTTGATCCTTTCAGACGCTCGTTGAAGGAGACTGAGATGTTGGTGGTTCCAGGGAGCTAAAGCTTTTAAGCACTGAATACAGCTGTCGGTGCTACTCGCCTTCCAGGATGGGGACCGCGTGATCCTCAC